TTATATTACCTAACACTCATTCCCTGAGCATCATCACAACACACTAAATGTAGTTCCCCATCTAGGACGAACTGCATAGTGACTCAATCAAGCATGTTATCACCAACAATATTCCATTTCTACTTTCATACAATGTATACATATATATATGTTTTTTATCCTATCTTTGACCCTCTGCCCTTTCCCCCCTCTCCCATTACCCTATCTCTGCTATATACAGTTGTCTTCCAGGGGAGTTATTGAAAATGTGATACATGCAAGTAAAGGGAGAAGGGCCACAGGTTAAGGTCTGGAACCCTAACCGGGTGAACTAGATGGAAATCCAGACACAGAATCCTGATCCTGACAACTATGGTTTCTAAATAACAAGGTATTCATGTCTAAGTAGACACCAACACAGTACCCAAGGTGGTTCCATGGTGTAATGGTGAGCACTCTGGACTCTGAATCCAGCGATCCGAGTTCAAATCTCGGTGGGACCTGTTTAACTTCGACGCGGAATACCTTTTACTTAAATCCTGCGTGGTTTCTACTTACCAGTCTACTCCGTATACAAACAAAATAAAGCTTCAGTCCGAGAAAGGCCACACCTTTGGCCTCGTGGTCCTCGCCGCCGACCGCAGGAACCGAATTCTCCAGACTGCCGACTGGAATAGGCCCGGTTTACACTTGACACGGGATACAACAGACACCGAAGTGCACAGATCCTCCTTGGTTTAGGACAGTGCTACCTGCGGTCGACTCCGGAAATTCTGGTCGACCCCGCTTCTCAGCGTTAAAATGCCTGCCCTTTATTTTCAGCCGGAACCCTAACTGCCAAGCATATTACTACTTATGTTTCTAAAACGGCAGGCATGGCATATAACACTTCGGAGATGTGTACCTTAAGAATGGAGAACTTATAAGTATATCTGTCATACCCCCCGGTAACTAAGCTCTAAAAATGAATTCACAGCTCAAGCTCTCCATATCGATAGTAAACGAGCACGCCTTACTAAAACCTAAAATACCTCATCACTCTGTTATTTAAACATTAAGAATCAGGGGAGAGCGCGAACGCAGTCCCCCACTACCACAAATTATGCAGTCGAGTTTCCCACATTTGGGGAAATCGCAGGGGTCAGCACATCCCGGAGTGCAATGGATAAGCCTCGCCCTGGGGAAACCACCTTCGTGATCATGGTATCTCCCCTGCCAGGTAAGTATGAGTTGCTTGAGCTGCGCCTCGCCTCAGCTTTAGATAAACTCCCCTTTATACACATGGTGGTTTTGCTCGGCCACTTCTCTATTCTCCGAGCCTAACATTTTTAGTCTTTCCACACAGCTTATCATTGGGTTTCAAGAAATAGTTTGAACTTGCTCCCACAACATAGGGAAGTAGGAGCCTGATCATCAGCCACTGCGCTTCCTTATCTACATAAAAATACGCCCTCTCCTGACGTCACACATAGGACCACAGCGGGGACGTCCCGCCCCTCAACCAGCGCCGGAAGTAGATGGGGAAATCGGAATCTGCATCTCTCTTCCTGCCCTCTCTCTCCCGATGTGGCGGTGGGAGGATGTGGCGGATTCTCCCCGACCTGCGACAGTTTGGGGCGGGAGCTTGTGAGCATGCTGAAGCCTTTGTACCCTTTTTGAAATGATGTCTTTTCCTGCGTGGAATAGAACACTCAGGAATACAGAGGAAACGGTTCCTTTCTAATCTGGGGATCTCTGTGCATTCCAATTAATATTGACACCATCCAATATCAGAAAGAAACCATATTTATGAAACTGGAGAGAATGCTCAGGTGACTGCAAACAATTCACCTTTACTGACTTTTCTCTTACTGGTGTTAAAGACCTTTCCAATCTAATTTCATGAATCTTACAGGGTTTTATCGAGTGCACAAGGATGCTGCCCCAACAGAGATGACTGGACTACTTTTACGCCTTCCTGTGGACTTGGTCCATCTCTTAAAGCGCCATCTGCACACCGTAGTGTTAGTGCTTTTTTCTGCAAAGACAAAAATAAAATTGAACTCGAAAATATGTGGGTAAAATTCCACTGGAGGTGCAGAAACAACTCAATCCCAGCAATCCTCAGGGAGTTCGTTTCCAGACACCATTAATCGAATGGTCAATGTAGGATAGTTTTTCCTGCCCTTTGTTTTCATACAGGTTGAATCATAGTGTGTACCAAATTTTCTTTGGAGGGAAAGACTTGAGTTTGACTTCTTTTGGAGAGGTTTGTTTTTTTGTTTTTGTTTTGTTTTTTTGCTATAGGGCATGTGCGCTAGCCAGACAGAGAGAGACAGAGAGATAGAAAGCGAGAAATCCCCCCCCCCAGGGGGGATGGCCACGCCACAATCCCTTCTCCTCCATTCTCCTCTCGGGATCTTGGGCACACACGCACACGCGCCCAGTGTGAGTTTTAAGCCACCAGGTCGGGGACGCGAACCGTTGTCGACTACATGGGAGTCCAGCGACATAGCCATTACGCTAACTGCTGGTCCCGAGTTTGACTTCTTGAACTCAACATTATCTACAGAACTCATCCATACTTTTCATTTACTTCTTTATTTCTGTGTAGACTGCTTTGTATGAATGTATTCAACATTATTCTACTGTTCTTTGACATTTAATTTGTTTACAGTTTAGGAATATTTTGAACAGATAGGAACATTCTTTTCCATGTGTTTTGATAATCACATACATACCTTTCCCCAGGGCACCACATTCCAATAGAAATATAATGTCAACCACATGTGTATTTTTTTTTAATTATCTTATTTAACTTTATTTGTTTATTTATTTATTTTAATTTGATCAGAGAGGGACAGAGAGAGAGGGAAGGTGAGAAAGCAAGCCGCCACATTCAGGACTCAAACTGTGATCAGCCATGTGAGAGTCCTGGGCCCTTAACCACCACACCACCTGCCAGCCCCACATGTATAATTTTTTTATTTCTTACAGGAAACACCAGGATGCCCAGGACAATAGACAATAGAAAAATAGTCATGGAGGAAGTTAGGACCCCTGACAACCACCACCAAACAGAGTCGTACCCACAAGCCCACTTCACAACATCTAAACCGGAAACTCACACTGATGGCACTGATGGGAGAAAATACTGACGCAGTGATGTGAGGCAGAACGAAAGACTCATCCAATAACCACACCTAGTATGTAAAAGCCAAAGGGCTCAACTTCCACTCATGAGATTCAATCAAAGAACTGAGTGCACGTGAGCCTCCAGGTCCAGACGAGGTGCTTGTCAAGTGCAAGATGCTATTAGCTCAAATATATGTGTCAGATGGGCTTTTTGTTTGTTTGTGTGTTTGTTTTGGCGTGGGGGGCAGACACCACATAGCCTTTTCGCCATTATATACCGAAGAGTAATACAGTTTACTACATGCTAACTCACCGTTGTATAGGAGAGAACTGCATTAAGTTGTTTTCATAAAAAAAAAAAAAAAAAAAGAGCAAAAATGGGACCAGCAGAAGGCGTAACGGTTAGGTCACCGGACTCCCATGTAGTTCATCGTAGTTCAAGTCCCGTACCTGGCAGCTGAAAACTCACATCAGGTGCGCACGTGTGTGTGTGTGTGCATGTGTGTGTGCCTAAAATACTGAGAGGAGAATGGAGAAGTAGTGTGGCCATGTTCCCTGTGGGGGTGATTTCTCACTTTTTGTCTCTGTCTATCTCTCCGACAAGCACATGCACCATGTAGCAAAAATCTCTCTCTCTAAAAAAAAAAAAAAAAAAAAAAAAAAGAAAGAAAGAAAGAAAGAAAAAACAAGATTTATATATAAAAGATGAACAAAGGAGAGGAGAGGAAAATGTCTGGGACTATTATGATTCTTCTCCCCTTAGATAAGAAGCTTGATGAGAAGCTATCCAAACAGTCACTCTGGCCAGTCCTCTCTGGATCGCTGTGGCATGGTCACCACAGAAGGCAAGTGTAGTTACTGAGGACTTTTGAGAGGACCTGTGTGCCATGTCCAGAGGGCCCACGGTGCTGGGCCTCTCCCCCAGTAACCCAGGAGGGCACCTTTCCTATCGGAATATCAGAGACGGACGCAGGAACTGTGCTGTGCTGGCCAGGAGACTAAGAAGCGACACTGATAGAGCTGGGAAAGGGTTAAGGTGCCGGACTCCCACGTGGATGATCACAGTTCAAGTCCCAGACCTCATGGCTTGAAACTCACACTGGGCATGTGTGAGTATATGTGCCCAAATCCCAAGAGGAGAAGGGATTGCACGTTACCATCCCCCCTGGGGGTGATTTCTTGCTTTCTGTCTTCGTGTCTCTCTGTTCTGTCTCTTCAGTGAGCACATGTGCCCTATAGCAAAGATCTATTTTTTAAAAAAAAAGGAAAAGAAAGGAAAGTAGAGTACAATTTAGAATCACCTCTGTGGAAGATAGCATGGCAGAATACACTAGAAGTATGATAGGACCACCAGATGACACAATGGTTGCATCACTGGACTCCCACATGGTTGACCACAGTTCAAGTCCTGGGCCCAGAAGCCTGAAACTCATGCCAGGCACATGTGCGTGTGTGCCCAAAATCCTGAGAGGAAAAGGGATTGCAGCATGGCCATCCCCCTGAGGGATGATATCTCGCTTTCACTCTCCCTGTCTCTTTCTCTCTCTCCAGCAAGCACATGTGCCCTATAGCAAAAATCTCTCTTAAAAAATAAAAATTAGGGGCCCCCAGGTGTTGTGGTGGCTGAGGGTACTTGATTCCCACATGGCCTACTGTGGGTCAAGTCCTGGACCTGGCGGTTTGCTTTCTTGCTTTTCCTTTCTCGCTTTTCCTTTCTCTCTGTCTCTCTCCGGGCAAATTAAAAAATGACAAATTCAATTAAATAAATAAATAATTCTTTAAGAAAAAAATAGAAGCACGGTATAAACGGAAGGATGCAGCAAGCCTCCCTCCAGTTCTCTGCTGCAGCTGGCAACTAGGCGTGCACAAGTGATGACTGCAGCGTTATTTGTAATGAGATCAGCCTCATCCAAGCACATTTGAGGGGGCCAGCAGGTGGTGCAGTGGTTGAAGGCACTGGACTCCCACATGGCCGACTGCAGTTCAAGTCCCAGATCTGGTGGCTTGCCTTCTCACTTTCTCTTTCTCTCTCTGATCAAAACTGGAACATAATAAAATTAAATTAAATAATTGTCTAAAAAAACACACATTTTGAAAAGGGTACATAAATAATACACAAAGTAAGGCCACAATGATTTTTTCCCCAAAATAATGGAGAGGGTATTTCTGTGGATCCCACTGGTCACAACATTACTGATAGAGCAGTCACCCCAAGCAGACACATCCTGGGGGTAGGCTACTGCTATTGGTTCATATTATAGGCAGAAGACGGTGCGTACATGTTTACCGTAGTGGTCCAAGCCTACAGAGGCCAGAATAAAGATTTCCTTGTACCAGATCTAGGCTCCTAGGTGTCTGCTTGAGGGAATCAGCTAGCTAAGTAGGTATAAAGACTTGACAGCCGAGACCAGCAGTTGACGTAATGGCTATGTTGCTGGACTCCCACGTAGTCGACTGCAGCTGGAGTCCTGGACCTGGTGGCTTAAACTCATGCCAAGCACGTGTGTGTGCGTGCCCAAGATCCTGGGAGGAGAATGGAGGAGAAGGGATTGTGGTGTGGCCATCCCCCCTGGGGGGGTGATTTCTCACTTTCTGTCTCTCTGTCTCTTTCTGGCAGCGTATGCACCCTATAGTAAAAACCTCTCCCCCGCTAAAAGAAAAGAACCTGACACCCAACCAAGATGTGAAACCTGGTTTGATGAGGTGGTCCCGGCCAGGTATTGTGATAGGCAGGTAGCTAGAAATGAGCGGCAACCCTCAGACAATAGCAGAAGGACACCTGTTACTTCAGTTGCAACCTCTCAAGAGTCACAACCATCCGCAGAGACTCCTTCCCCCACCCAGCTCCTCATTTTTTTCTTCCTAATGAAGACACAAAGGGATGATTGCTAATTTCCCTGTTATTCCTCATAAATACAAAAGGACCCAGAATGAGGGTACTCCTGTCGTCAAAGCTCACACTGGGCATGTCCGGTTAGGTAATCAGAGTCTTCAGATTCTTTGGCTATGAGAAAGACACACAAGCACAGAAGAAAGCGGGAATTCAAGCCAAGAGCACAGATCCTGTGACAGGCCTCCCACTCTTCATGTTCATTACCACCTCTAGGAACAAACATGACACCTCACCAGGTCCAAACCCAGCAACTTGCCCGCCCAAAAGTCTTTTGGTGTACTACTTTTCTAAAATTCTTTCTTTTCTATCAAATTATTTCTTCTACCTACTTTTTTGGGGGTTGTGGCTTTATTTTGTGCCTAATTTTAGAGATCTGAACCTAAAGAACTGAGGATTTCACACAACAGCAGCTCAATTCTCCTGCAACAGTATCAGCCTTGAGGTAGATTGGTGCCCAATAGGAAGGCACAGCTGGAAAGGATTAAAGGACACAACAGGTATCCCTGGGTGAGCTTGAACAGTCAACCTTCCTGTTAACACTATAATGTGGCGAGCAATTGCACAGCAGAGACACAGCTGCAAGCCTTTCCTGGCCTTCTTGAGAGGAATTACCCTATAAGCCCAGGGTGTGCCGGTCTTCCCAGCCACTGGTAGGTCCCAAAGTCTTGGAAAATCAAAAATGTTACAGAGGTGAAGCATTGTGGGCCACCGGCTCCTTAGATCCAGCCTAAGAGAAAACCTCGAGAAAGAACTATCCATATACAGCGATATGAGGAGAGAGGAGAGCTTAGAAGGCAAGATTTCTCTTCCTCCCCCACAGTTGATCTTGGTTTTGGTTTTAGTATTTTTTGGGGGTAAACAGCAAGGTCTATTAAACATCAGACTGAAAAGTTAGCAGGGGATCTCCTGTTTTTTTTATCTTATTTTCTATTTCTCTGTCATGTATAGGAAGCACAAGAGACGAATCAAATTTGAAGGGAAGGAGTTTTATCCACAGCAATTCTCCAAGAGCAGAGCTGTTTGTCACTATTTTCTCCTGGAACAGATAAACAGGGGCCTTCCGCTCTGCAAGGCCGCATGTCTACAAGCATTATTTCCTAAAAGTAGTTTAAACATTTTTGGTTTCAAGTCATTTAACCAGTTAGCCCCAGTCATGGGATTTTCTTCAACGTGAGGTTAATCTTGGTGCAAACCCCAGCGTCAGGTGACTGGAAGCTAGAGGGCAGCCGCGTGGCCTCTGCCTTCCTCTGCCCCTTGCCCACTGCTCACGCCAGTGCCCAGAGACAATGGGTCCTCCGCCCGACCTCGACCACCTGGCATAGTGTCAGTCTAAAAGATTTCTTTTCTTTTATGAGAGGTTTTTGCTATAGGGCGCATGCCCACCAGAAAGACAGAGACAGAAAATGAGAAATCATTGGGGGAATGACCACACCACAATCCCTTCTCCTCCTTTCTCCTCTCGAGATCTTGGGTGGGTCTGGGACTTGACCCAGTCAATTACATGGGAGTCCAGTGACATAGCCATTATGCCAACTGCTGGTCCCTTTATACCCCTACTCTTAAAATCTTACATTGGACTGGTACATTTGTTGGGCCTGCCAGTGCCATGGTAGTTAAGACAGCCGGATCCCATAGGGCCAACTGTATAGTCTGAGACCCAGACCAACAGCTTGAAAAACACACTACGGGGAACCAGCAGTTAGCGTAATGGCTATGTCGCTGGACTCCCACGTACTCAACCGTGGTTTGCTTAAAACTCACGCCGGGCGCGTGTGCGTGCATGCCTAAGATCCCGAGAGGAGAATGGAGAAGAAGGGATTGCGGCATGACCATCCCCCCTGGGGGGTGATTTCTCGCTTTCTGTCTCTATGTCTCTTTCTGTCTGTCTGGCGAGCGCATGCGCCCTATAGCAAAAACCTCTCCAAAATAAATAAATAAATAAATAAAATAACACTAGGTGTGTGTGTGCCCACATTCCAGGTAAAAGAATGGAGAAGAAGGACTCGAGGTGTGGCCATCCCTGCTGGGCACTGCCTTCTTACTTTCTGTGTTTTTCTATGGCAATTTTTGTTTTGAGACATTTTTGGCTATAGGGTACGTGTGCTCACCAGAAAGAGAGGCAGAAAGACAGAAAGAGAGAAATCCCCTCCCCCCCCGGGGGATGGCCACGCTGCAATCCCTTTTCCTCCATTCTTCTCTCGGGATCTTGGGCACTCACACACACGCGCCTGGTGTGAGTTTAAGTCAACGGGTCTGAGACTCAAACTGCAGTCGCCAACTATGTCTCTCTATGGCAATTTTAAAAAGAT